TGATTGATTGATTGAAAAATTCTTAGATGACTTTTTTACGTACGTCTTGGATGAATCATCGACAGCACTGTCTTCAGCTAAAAGAGTGCATTTTTTTTTTTTAAATAATATTTTAACTGCTAGCGCTGCACATCTCTCTGTCAGATTCCGAATTTTCTAAACGACTTAATGTTATTAGCTTGAATAGGTGTAAAGAATTAACCTTTACATATATGAATCGCATAAAAAATTTATTGTGAAATATACTTTAAATGTTTTCATCTGCTTCCGGCTACTGTTTTTCTATCAGTCTAATTTATTTATTTATTATTATTCATTAAATCAAGAAAGCACTATATAAATATACAGAAAAATTCATAATATAAATAGAACTACATAGCTACAAATATTGATAATAGATACAAGGTAAAGAGACTTTTATGGTTAGCATCATCTTCGTAATCCTAACTAGCAAGCAATTGAGGCGCTTTTCATACATCCATCCAATTACGAATGTAAAAAAAGCCGATGAACAAAATTATTCGGAATGAAAAAGATTGAAAAGATTGATGAAAGAAAGGGAAATTTATTGCATTATCTTGTGATCATAGCACATTGTAAAATCAACACGATTTAGATAATGATCGATTTGTGTATTGTTAGCATCAAAATCGTTTTCCTTCGTTCTCATTTCACACTTGATTATAAGATTTATAGTAAAAGTTATTTTCTAATCAAGTACGTAAAGTAATACAACATAATATTTTATAGTGTAGAGAATGGCAAAAGTAGGGCGATGGATTGACTGACTTCGCAACTGATTGCGATAGCTTGATAAAGGCATCCTGTAAACCTACAGGTACGGAGAAAGCAGCAACTAGCCGTTAGCGTTCTGCTTTGCCGTTCAAGTCAGCTGACATCGTTCTCAAATTTATGAAGCGGTCTTATGAGTTTAGAAAATCAGCGGAAGGACACGATCGTTTGAACTGAATCAAAGTTGGAGACAGATAATTGAGGAATATGTACATGAGTTAGGTAATCACTCCTTGAAATAAATGAATTATGGAGAAGTAAAAAAAATTATATTCGGCTTTGGCCGAATGTTTTACTCCTTCACAGTAAAATAGAATATACAATTATTTATTGTTGCAGTTAATGTAAGTACAACAACAAGAGACAACAAAATGGCAAAGTTGTGCATGCTACAGATCCGAGGCACTTTTGGTGTCTCTGTTATGAATAACTGCAGCAGCGCTATTACTTAGTAGCTATTTCGTTTCAATGATTTATTCTTATGTCGTCAAGGAGGAAGAGGAAGACAGAGCCGCAGTTGCAAAGGTAGAAAGTTATGAAGCTAAGATTTGGTTAATCCACTCGAGATTAAATGTGTGTGAATGGATTCTTACTATATCGACGTACGACGCTATCGAACGAACTGACGCTATCTCAAAGAAGCACCGAAAGTTGTTTTCATCTTGTTGTCTGTCTGTAATTTTCGATCCCCGCGATAATGATTTCAAAAACTTGTTACGTTCGGTGCAAAAATATCGATTGACGTCGATCACGTCCACAACTACAAAAATCGCATTTTAGTTTCAATTCGTTTCCAATTTAAACGAACGCACGTCGTTTTTGCGAATTATAGGCCAAATGAATGTATTTTGATAGACGTAGGTAAAGAGAGAACGTCAGTAGTTTTCATATAGTTAAAAAGCATGTGCACTGCAGTGATTAGTCAATATTTTTTGATTCAATGAAAAGAAATTCAAGTTTATAGACACAACTACAACAACAAAAACAGCAACACCATAAGACGATCTACGCAGGTATGTGTGAATATATTTGAGTGGCAAAGTAGTCTCGGTAATGTTTAAAGAAGAGTACATACGCATGTATGTTATTCATTTGTTATATGCGTTAAAGTTTTGCATGCAATGTTGCATAAAAAAAAAAAAAAATTTTAATATTTATTAACATTTATATAAATTTATTATTTACATGATTGGTTTGTTTAGTTTTTCTCACGTAATGGATATGGATACTTACGGTAAGGGGTTTGCGCGGATGTATGAAAGACTTATCACATTTTGATTCTGAATCAATGTAAGTTTAGTATATTTTCCTGTCTGTCTGTGTTTTTTCATAGAGATTCATGTGATATAGGCGAACACAGATGACATATTATATTCGTTCGACAATAAAAATATTCATAAAGCATATATAACTATATATATATATATATATATATATATATATATATACTGTATGTTAATAAACAAAATACGTCCATCTATCTATCCGCCTGTCGGTTATTGGTATTCTCAATCCGTCATCAAACGCGCGCGCGCGCGCACACGCACATAATACTTAGGGATTTTGAAAAGCTAAGGGAAAGATATTTTGCATAAGCCTTCGACAGAACTGCTTAAATATCTAAATGTAAAAAATACTTTCAACGAATGTGACCAGAAGTGTTCATAATTAGTTAGAAAACCAAGCACTATTTCAATGCTTAACTTGAGCGATTGTTGCGAGTGTTTAAGATTTATCCAAAGATCATAATGACTTTGGCTTTCTTTATGTTTGTAATAAAATGTAATAATAATTATTTTTGTCAGAGCGAAAATTTCAAGTCACTGAACTTAACTGAACTTAATATGTAAATACATGTGATACATTCACGATAGTATGCTTTATTGGGCGAATAACTTTAGAAAATTATGCATAACACGTTCCTCTTGTACAAGCAGCAGACAATAATAACCACAAGAACAACAATAACAAAGAATATAACACGGATCTAAATAAAAAAAGAAAACCTATTTGGAGTGTTAGAGTTTCGATTAAAAGTCTTTGGCAATTTGCTCCCTTTTTTTTTAGTTTGATTGAACAAAAACATTACAAGTAAGATAATTATATTCGGTCGCGAACGAATTTTTAATACCCATCACCATTATCCTAAAAACGAAATTTCGATACTCTTTATATATCTAGTCTACAAGTTCTTTCATTTGTAAAAAAATGAACATTTAATCGCTTATAACTTTGTGTGGCTCTGGCCTGGAATTGCGAGCAAGCACTTCCAATACTTCTAATAAATTCGAAGCCGGCTGCCGCATTTTTGCGACCAGAAGAATGTTTACCGCTGAGCGACATCGATGGACGGACATTGTTAAAATCAGTTTAGAATTTGAAGCTTTCTTTCAGGTCTTAAAAGCGTTATGACAAAATGCCTACACCCTGGAGCAGTAGTAGTGCAGTAGTGATAATGTCACCCGCATTATTGGCTTTAATCGACCTTAACCTTGGCATTTATGGCGTCTGTGGAAAAGCCGCACATAACAAAGCTTAGAACAATAAACTAATTTAATATTTATTATAAATGTACATACAAATATCTTTCTTCATATATATTCACCTAATACGGGCAGTGTAATGTGTTGATTGTTACCATTTACCGAGCATCGACGAGCATAGATGTATTTATCTTTTATAAATTTTCAGACTTGACTTTAAACGAATTTCGATTATAATCATACAGCTTAAGGTAGAGTTGAGCAGTTGCTTCTCAGCTGATAATTCATTTTATTCACACTTTTTCGGAAAACTATTGTATTTTTGTGGATTCTTTCAGTCTGTGCACAAGGAAAGGTCGTTTTTTAATAACATGGCACAACTAGTCATAAATATTTCCGAAAATCTAATGTAAATATTAAACGACTTAAAGACGATAAGCAAATTACTTTTCGTGTGTACACATATGCATTGTCAGTTACGAATTCGAGCATATTCACGTACAAGGTCATATAAGAATCTTGGAATTTGTTTACGCTACTAGTAAACGAAATGAGGTCAAGGTGAGAATCGTTCTAAGTCAGACTTAACACCAACTACACTCTGGTGGTGGTGGCTTCATTTCATCTTGAAAACGCTTCTAGAAAAATTTAGAAGCTGGAAACTCTTACAATAGTTTATCAGATACTCTTGCTTTTGATTGACGCGCCTGCTAATCACCACCGATCAAGATATATGTTACGATTAACTATAATATAATTGCGGAGCTTCGAAATTTATCGAGAATCATCTTTGAGTGTATACTCAGCTGCCTACAAAGGCTACTAGGAACAATAGTTTATTAGGGAATTCATTGAAATCGTAAAATAACGCTTAATGCGCCTTACGGGTAAATGCTTTTCTTTCCTTCGCTAATTTTTGTGCCCATCACTGAAAGATGAGGGCTATATTCATTTTCTCCTAACGTTTGTAACACGTATACTTGAAATTCTAAATCGATTTTAACGACGTCCGTCCATCTGTCCATCTGTCTGTGTAAAGTCTGCGGTAAACATTCTTCTGGTCGCAAAAATGCGGCAATCGACTTCATATTTGTCAGAAGAATTGGAAATGCTTGCACGCAACTTACTATTTAAGCTGGGTCAAATCGGTCGAAGAACACGACCATAGTATAAAATAACTTGAGACCGTCTTTGTTTTCAAAATTAAAACAAATTCGGCCTTTTTCTCGTTGCTTACAGACCGCTAGATATACAACGATAAAAATTTGCATTTGTATTCTATGGTTGGTCCTGTAGCACCTATATACAAAAATTTTAATATATCGGCCGGGTGCACACAAACGTGTAAGCGATTAAATTCTCATTTTTTTACATTTTTGCCGTCTTCTGCTTAATACTCATAACGTATTATTTAATACATTCCTCACTGCACTATCTATTTTTAGAATGCGTTAATTAGAATATAATTAAATATGGTGGCTTCGTTTTTTTCTTTGCAGTATAATCAAATACAAAGATTTGTAAATCCGATATATACAAAGAGTATCGAAATTTTGTTTTTTAGGATAACATTGTGGCCGAATATAACTTTTTTACTTGTTTTCTTTTTGGTTTAAGCGCAATATATACACAGAATCGATTTGAAATTTTGTTTAAATATCTTCACAGATTATCTAAGAATATCTGAATCGCTCAAATTAATCCCGTGATATGGAACACAATTACCTTAGGCAATGGATTCATTTAAATCCGTTCTCTTGCTTGGACGTATTTTATGAAATCAATTAAAATTTTTATTGTTTTATAAATGCATTTAATTAATTTTTAAAATTGAAATTTTCACTCGTATACCGTATAACGGTTCTTTTTTGGTTTGAAACAGTATATCTCGTATAGAGCAAAACAACAGAAATACCTTGAATGACTGAGTGAATGCCATGCTGAGCTTGAATTTAATTAGAAAGAAAATTGACATTTTTTAAACCTAAGGCTTAGAGAATAAAGAATAAAAAAAAAAAAAAAATCGCTTACGTATTTTAACACTTTTTCATATTGATTTGAAACTAGAACAACAAAAACCAACTGCGAAAAGCCTGCATTTGTTTGGTTAAAAAAATTGAAAAGAAAAACAGAACTGATTTTTTTTTTTTTTTCCTTTACATTTATATATATATATACATATACATAAAAGGTCTTTGCAAGGTATTTATAACACAAAAAAAAAAAAAAAAAAAAGTCGACAAAGAATGTTTTTGCGTTTTAATGCAAAAGTTATTCAAAGAATTTTCATCAACAATTCATTTAAATCTGAAACTTATCGAAAATCTTGCATTTATTTCTATCAAAGGTATTAAAGCCAGAGGCGAATATAAAGACCGAAAGAGCGAGAGCGAGAACGAGAACGAGAGAAAGAAAAAGATAAATTTATTGACACAGCTGTAGTTCAAAGCGATGCGATTAACTGGAATTGAACTTAATTAAAATGAATGCCATTTGAATTGCATGTGAAGGGGAATGTTGGCTGTTTCTGTGTCCGTCCGTCCACCCGTCCGCCCGTCCGTCCGACGATCCAAGCACATCATGCATATCCAGTGTTAGCTACAATTAAGTGTACGTTTTGATATTGAAATTAATTGGATTGAATTTTATTCGTCACACATTGTAACGTTTTTCTTATAGCTTTTCTTGCAGTGATTACACTGCAGATTATATATATGCACTTTAGCCCTTAAACATCTAATAGAAATCAAGGCTGAATGCGAAGAATGAACGTAAAGATGGATCACGCGCTATTTACTCAAAGATCAGCAAGCCGTCTGTCCACACTTGCAAATTCTCAAAGTCTCAGAAGGTATTCCAAACCCACTGGTTGCCTATTCGCTTCATTAACGCTGAGAAGTATATTCCCCCCAAAATGTTAGGCATTCCCAAAACTTTTTTTTTCTTAATCTTGTAAAGCATTTTTATTTTTTTATTTTTTTTTTTTTTAGATATTACAAAACAGTACACGGAAGTGTCTCCGTCTGCCTAGCCGTCCATCGTTTTGTCTTTCCGTCCTTGAAATAAGCGGAGAGAAAGTCATATATATTTTTTTTATCATTTTTAAATATCAACTCTGAAAATGAGTACAATCTGCTATATATATACATATATATACGTGAAATTTGTGCCGCGCACAATTTTATCGGTATAATTCATTTCAAGTATTCATTGGAGCCATTGCAGAATTTAAGGTAAAAATCCTATTTGCATATCCACTTAAAAGCGCTCAATAAAAAAAAAGTACAAGACGTTACATAGCGTAAAGTACGGAGCGTATAACCAATGTATATTGAAGATGTTTATATAATTTTCTCACTTTTCTATTATATCTTACTAGAAAGAGTTTTGTAATGGCAAGAGACGCAACAGGTAGCAAGCAAATAAAAACGGCAAATATAAAATTTAACGATATTCGCGTTTTAGTACATTTTCAATGAACTGCTTGACCTATTCATATAACAAAATCGTTTATTTCAATAAACTTGTCATAAGAAAGAGAAATTGTTTTCTTTCTTTGTGAAGGCAACCAAGCGCAGAGGAATAAATATTGAAAAAAAGAAGAAGCATATGTAACTTTATCCGAGTGTTACGGCATAAACCTGTTCTATGAATATAAGATGGATGGATGAATGACTGAATGGGTGGATGGATGGATGGATGGATGGATGGATGAATTATTAACGTCACTGCACATGGTTTGTACGATTACTTTCAGGTGGAATTCAAAGCAATGAATATTGACGCGAAAGCATTAAATTACCTGTTTACGTAAAACAAATAAGAAAGTTATCTGCACCTTTGAATGAATGCTGGATACCCTACGTACTTCCAGTAACGGTAGAAAAATCGCAAATGGATAATAACCTGATCGAGATTTCCACTTTTGAAAATTTTGATATGCAAATCTCGCATCCCTAGGAAGGGATGGAAGGAAGCAAGAACAGAAGTAGGGACGAAAGAAAGCCCACAAATCGACCAGGAATCTCAGTTCAACCAAAGAATTTTTGTTTATTTTATTGAAATGAAAATTTTTTGTATAACTATGGGTAGGGGATTATGAAGACCACATCCATATATGCACATATTGATAATAAGATTTAAATTACATATGATATAGAAATGTTTATTTTCCTTATTTCATTTGTTTAGCTCATCTTATCAATCGAAACCGGAATTATGAGCAAATAAATAACTTTAGGTTAAATATGAATATTCTAAACGGAAGATATTGAATATCTTTCTTACCCCCTATCTCTCTCTCTCTCGCTCTCCTTCTTGATAGTGAAACATTACGCATATACATAATCTCTTTTCATGCATATATGATACATGAACGTAACATTTCAAAGGTTAAAGTTTTAACAAAATTCACTCATCTTACCTTTGCCATCCACTAATAGGTTAATACTATAAGTGATTTGACACGAATACATTGAATAATTGATTGATTTTAAATGATACGTTTTACGTGATTGCAAAGAGCGATTGTAACCGCTGGCTATACTTTTAAAGACATTTAAAGACAACAACGCTTTATAGGAAACTAAAGATTGTCTTCAAGTTTTAGAATAATGCAGTTTAAGCAGATATTAACCGCGAAAGAAGTCAGATATGAATATATGTCCACCGATCAAGTCATAAGACGCTACTCCACTATAAATGGAGAGATAAAATGGCAAGTAATAGGAGATTCTTGTATTTAGCGGTAGAATAGTAACAAAATACCGAATGCAACTCTATATTTCTATATAAAAATCAAAGTTTTAACGTAGAATAGTAGTAAAATATCAAATATAACTCCATAGTTAAAAATCAAAGCCTTCAGTTCATATCCTTTTCATACATATACTGGACCGCTTGTTGTACAGGATATTATTAAGTTTGTATAGGCTCATGCGATAGACAGAAGGACTTAAGTTGGCCTCACCTTTTGATTCAAAGTCAGTTTTCGATTTGAAGCTAAGCCAAACTAAATTCAAAATTCAAATTCTGCTCTTCGAACCTATTCTTATGCAAATTGCTTGAAATTTGCTATGTAAGCATAAACCGGCTATGGAAAAATGGCCAAATATGAGACTTAAGTGCGGCCAAAGCAGAAAATTGACAGATTTTTTAACAAAAGCCACTCGGCATACTGGATTATTCTGAAAATTTTGGATCAGATTTAGTGAATATACTTTTTCATTAATCGTTGCCACGGAAACTAAGCTTTTGTGTAGCAACAAATCCTGATATTCTGATCGCAATTCGACACATCAATTAGGTGCACCAAATTTGGGCCAAATGCGTCTATTTTTTGCAGACTCACCTCCCATGAAACCTCTGGCTTCTTGGCGTTTAATGCTCGCCCTTGTCCGATTATAATGTATTTTTTTCGCATTGCATTTTCGTGCATTTCACAATTTTAATGAGCACAATTTTCTGCCCAAAAATGTTATTATTCTTCGCCTACTGTCGTCATAAACTGGTAAATATTAAACTCAAACTTAAACGCTTATCTAAAACGGGGTCCAAAAATAGACGTATGTAGCCCAAGTACCATTAATTTCTATTTCTAATTGATATCATGATTTAACTTTAAAGTTACTCATCGTAGGCACGATTTTATGGCTTCAAAACATTTATTTATCTTGGCCGACTCCAACTTTCCTCATTTATTTTATGGACTAAAATGCTTACAATGACTTCCTCAAACTAAAACTAGAAATAAGCCGACCTAATCCATTTTCAATAGAGTTTGCTTTTGGTCAAAACAGACCAGTGCGACTTGTAGTTTAAAAATACATGGATAGATATTAGATGGGCAGAGGGATTGACATTTTGAAATCGATTTAGAGAATGATTTTACATGAATCGTTATAATAATAAATGGATCCACATTTAAGTTCTTTTGGAAGTTAACACTAAAGCTACCGACATTCCATGTATACCTATTTCTACCGTGAGCGGTCAAATGACCGCGTCAAAAAAAACATATATAAAGTAGATAGTAAACAAAATATTTTTCTGATGCTACATTAAAAACTCGTTCCCCGCTTTTCGATGTTGTATGTTTTATTTACTTTTATGCATTTTCATCACATTTTTTACAAATTACAGCATTTTGTATTCTACATTTTCCACGTGCGTATTTTTTACATTTTATACAAATTTTGTTTGTTTTATTGACTTTACAATATCTTATTTGACAAGATCTCCGTTCAGATGAAACAGTGTTTGTGTTTATTATCGTTTTTGATGAGCATTCTTGGCTTATTTCTTTTTCTTTCTGATATTCGGTCCCAAGTTCTTCTGCCAACTGAAACAAAAACTCTTGCCTCGATATATCCTCACCCGTTGGCCATTTGGTCGGTTACATCTACACCGAATTTTGTACTATTATAAACTCTAATTGTCTCTGGTATAAGGGTGTCATTTTTTTGCAATTTCAACGGATGAATGCATTGAACTAAGTATCAATACTTTTTTATTTGGTTTAGCTTTATAAATTGTAAGAATAAAATCTTTCGATTTGTATAATATTGTTGAGAAGCGTGTCATACTGTCCTTTGCCTGGCTCGCTAATTTTGGTAGTTCTCTTTCATTTCTCCGGATAGTTCCAACAAGAGTAGTTCTTTTTGTTAGAAGTTTACGCGCTAGTGACGCGCTTGTAAAAAAATTGTCAACTGTTATATTTCTCCCATGGCCCGTATATGGTTCTGCTAATTTCAAAGTTACAAATTCTCCAAGTGGGATTGATGATTCTCTCCCTTCATCTTTTCCCAAATATGGGAAGCCGTTTACTATATATTTACTAGTTACATCGGAAGCTAACCAGAATTTTATACCAAATTTGTCCGGTTTATTGGGCATATATTGAGTAAATCTACAACGTGCTTTTGTAGGAAACAATTGTTCATCTATAATAAGATATGCTCCTGGTTTATAACAGTTC